TACCGGGATTGGCCCCAGCCTGTGGGAGTGGGGGGAGAGGGTCCTCCCTCTCCAGGCAGTGGAGGTCCCAGGTGGGGTCCCTTTCACCTGCACGGTCCCATCTCACCGCTCCACCCTCTTTGGGCCACAGCCTCACGGGTCCCCACGCTGCTCTGTGCACGGACCTGGCTGGGCTGGACCCTGTGTAGGTTGCGCCACAGGCCCTGCTCTCCACACAGTCTGGGTGCCCTGACTCCCAGGGCACACAGTCCTGCTCTCCACACAGTCTCGCCTCATGGGGGTGGAGGTGGGGGTCCTGGCTGGGAAGCCCCTGACGGGTGTCTGGCCCCGGGGCCTGGCGTGGAGGACGTACCGTGGGTCTCTTCCGCAGATGCTGCCCCTGGTGGGAGGGCGGCCTGGCCGACCATGTGCCCTGGAGTCTCCGCGGTAGTGAAGAGGCCCCTCCCACGTTTTCTTAGGGGCAGCATTTTCTAACTGGCTGTGCACCACTCAAGTGACTTGTTCCTTGGCCAGGTGGCAGAGCAGGTGTCTTTCCCTGCTCCTCCCCATACAGGGTGATATGGCAGGAGGCAGGTGGAGGCTCGACCAGCGCCACCCCCCATGCCTTGCCAGGCTCTGTCCTGAGTCCCCAGCTGCAGGCTGCCTTTGAGGAGCTGCCAGTCCTGGGCAGGAGACGAACAGTTGTGGCCCACGGCGGGGACAGTGGGCAGTGAGGGCAGGGCAACCCTCAGGGGTTAGGAGTGAGCAGGGGGAGGCCGAGGAGGCAGATGGGGTCGCTGAGGCTCAGGCTGCTCGGCCTGGTGGCAACAGGATCTTCGGGAAGCTCTGTCTCAAGGAAACCCCAGTGGACATTTTTGAGGATGAGCAGAGTCTTGCTTTTTGTGACATTGCCCCTCACACACCAGCACGTTTTCTGGATACACCTAAGAAGTCTATGTCCCGGGTTTCTGTAGCAGAAGATGCTGACCAAAGTCTTGGACGTTTCATGAGTGTTGGCAAGAAACGTGCTGCTGATCTGGGTCGGGGGTATGGAGTGTCTGAGCAGAGGCTCAGCGGGGAAGGTCCGTCCGTCATGTTTGTCCTCGTGATCTTAGAGGGCGGTAGGTGAATTGGCCTGGTTAAGCATGTTTTGGGGATAATTTTTTCCTACTCTAGGCAATGTTAAACAGCACACTTTAGTTTTACCTGTGTGTGGTGACTGAGTAACTAACTCCTAAAACTCTACATGATAGACACTGTCATGTGTTCTAAACAAGACAGGGATGCCAGAACTGAGTCTCCAGGTTCTACTTGGGCTTCTCATGGGTGATGTTTGACGGAGGAGAAACAGGCTGGAGGCTAAGCGGTGGCCTGTCCGAGGTGCTCCGGCCCGGCTGTCCTTTTCTCTTGGTCCTAGGTGAGGAGGTTCGGACTGCCCTGGCCCCTCTCATCCTCCAGACCAGCTCAGCCGTCAGGACCCCCGACCAGCTCCAGGTGCAGAGAAGGGCCGGGAAGCCTCTAACTTTCTGCTTTCTGAGAAAGCTGCAGCCTTTGGGGTTTTCTCCCAGACCCAGATTCTCCTGAAAACTACAGCCAACCCTAAGCTTGCACAGGCTGCAGGTCCATAAGCACTAAGATTTGGGATCTGCAAGATCACACATGCGCTGGCCTGGGACCCCTGCGTGCAAAGAGCCTGCTCAGCACCACGCTGCTCCCACCAAAGGGAACACAGCCACCGGCTCGGGGCTAAAGCACCAATTCTATTCTGAAACTTTGACCAGAGGAGCCCAGGAAGCCTAGTCATGGACGCTCCCAGCAGCACATCTGCTGCCAAGAGCCTAGAAAACGACTCACAGACCAGTACTGGGAAATGGATCAAATGCAGATCAGCCCAGTGGAATAGTTCACCACGGATTGACAACACGCCAGCTGGGGTTACACGCACACCACGCACACCACAGGTGGATCCTCGGCAGGGCTGGGTGGAGAGAATCTCAGCGCCACACCATTAGCAGGTTAGCGTCTTAGCCACGTGCATGTATGCGACCAACCCAGGAGGGGCCAGACCCAGCGTTCTGAGTGGGACCGGCAGGGCCAGGGCTGCGTAGGCACACCAAGTGTTCAGGGTGATCCAGGTCCATTCCTATTAAGAGCCATAGTCTTCAAAAGGAAATAAAACACAGGAGAGCGTTTTTTGACACAAGAAGTTGTAACCACAATGAAGTTTGCCCATGTAAAAAATGTAAAGCAATGATGGGAAGATACCACACAATGGAAGAGAAGCTGATGGAGTAGAAAGATCTCATGACACACAGCAGTAAAACCAGGACGGGGGTCGAACATATACATCGAACCCAAAGCTGGGCGAAGCGTGTGCACAGGTATTCCACAGAGGAAGCAGTCTGGCAGACACTAGCACAACTGGGCATTCATAGAGCCCGTGACCCTGAACTTCATTTCTAAGGTCTTCCTCAGAGCAACTCCCACACATGCCAAGGAGGCACATACAAGGGCAGTTTGATAAGGAATACCGGAAAATTAAGAAAGGACCTAAATGGCCGTTGGTAGGAGAATGATTAAATGTTGGCACATGCATGCAATGATGGGCGGCAGTTAAACCACAAGTTACCTGCATCCACATGAATGAATCTTGAAAACATTGGGAAACATAGTTATCCCCTATAAAACTGTAGAAGATTGTGTAAGTGAATGTCTTAAAAGACTGCAGGAGTAAGAAAAAAATGAATAAATTAATCTACATTTAACCTGGTTTGCCATTCTTGTAGGGTATTCAAGCAATGGACACTATGTAGCAATAAGAGCAGGTTTCTCTTCATCAAGAGGCATCATAAAGGAATAAAATTAAGACAAGTCATAGAAAGAAAGCAATTACAGTGTATATATTAAAATAACCCAGAATATTTGGCTTCTAAAAAGTAATTCAAGAGCACTCAGTAGAAAAATGAGCAAAAGCCTAGAATGAGCCCTTCACAAAAAACATGAAAAGCTGCTTAATTTCATTAGTCTTTAGAGAAGCACATACTAAAATCACAATGTAATACCACTATATCCTCACTGGAATGGCTAAAATACAAAAGACAGCCATGGCTGATGTGGCTCAGAGGATTGAGCACTGGCCTGCAAAGTTAAAAGTCACCAGTTCAATTCCCAGTCAGGGCACATGCCTGGGTTGCAGGCCAGGTCCCCAGCAGGGGGTGTGTGAGAGGCAACCAACTGATGTATCTCTCTCACACATTGATGTTTCTCTCCCTCTCTCCCTCCTTTCCCCTCTCTCTAAAATAAATAAATAAAACTTAAGAAAAGACAAAAGACAAATGATACCAAGCTTTGGTGAGGACGTAAAGCAACTGGAACGCTCGGCCACCACTAGTGAACGTGTGAACTGCTGCCCGCTTTGGGGAACTGGTAGGCTCCCTTGGAGATGGAAATACGTGTATTCTAAAATGAGCAATTCTACCTGTAGGTATGTGTGTATGTAAAAATCCTTACAAAAATGGGTTGTGATATGTTGATGAAAAAAGTGTGCAAACCTGGTATGCAGCACTTCCTGTTCACCCTACCCCGGACACAACCCAGATGCCCACCAAGAGTGGGACGGATAAGGACCGTGGGTCGGTGAGGCAGAGGTGGCCACGGTCTGCCCACACAGGGAGAGACAGTTCGGTATTGATAGTGATTAGAATTGCCAGTGGATGACGGTGAAAAGCAGTCTAAGTTGGTCCCACTGTGTTCCCTGCGGGCGGTACACCCCTTACTGCCTGCATTTGGTGCAGATTGCTCTCCGCCTCGGCCCCGCGCCACTGCGGGGGTGTGTTTCCAGAATGGAATGCTAGTCAAAAAAAGGAAGGGACAGGTCAAGAAAATAGGAATCCCAGGTGAACCTCACAGACACACTGTTGAGTGAGGAAAGCTGGACATAAGACGGGATTCTGCGTACAGGGATTCTGTTGGTAGGGAGTTCGTGAGCGGGACGGTGCGTGCGGGAGGTTGCGTGCCATGTGCTGCTATTTCTGCCAGAAAACAAACCAACCCAATGAAACAGCGAAAGATGCAGTTTTGTCAGAAAATTAAAGGTGCATAAATGTTTGCTATGATTGGATGGCCTATTTCATTGAAGATGCGCATGTGCCCAAGTAGGTAATCATTTGTATACTTTTTGCAACCTTATAGTAGCAAAAACTTGGAGGTAGCAGAGATCGATTAAGGAAAATGGCTGCTGTGGCTCAGTGGACTGAGCGCAGGCCTGTGATCGGAAAAGCCACCAGTTCATGGGCACATCGACCTGAGTCAGGGCACGTGCCCGGGTTGCAGGCTGGGTCCCCAGTGGAGGGCATGAGAGAGGCAACCAATTGACTGGTGTTTCCCTTTTTCCCTCTCTAAAAATAAAATCTTTTTTAAAAAATTAAGTAAAATCGGTATGTTTATACCATGGAATACTATATAGCAATCAAAATGAATGAGCATGAAGATAGTGCCGAATAATCTGATGCTGAGGGAAAGCACAGAAAGTTGTCTGCATAGTGTTGAGCAATGTGTGTAAAGGCATAATCACAAAAGGAAAGGACAGAGTTAATCATTCTTGAGCACCTACTAAGTTCCAGGTGCCTACCTTCATTCCCACAGCAACACTCTGAGCTAGTTGGTACTTCTGTGTTTTTCTCACAGAGCAGGAAATGGAGGCTCCGTGAGGCCCAGCCCACTCAGGGTCCCACAGCCGGAGTTCCCACAGCCCTCCAGTCCCCTCCCTGCAGGGCCACCCTGGGACTCTGCTGCCCAGGCTGGGGCTTCAGGCCTGGGCTGGGATCTCAAGCTGGTGCAGGGCAGGAGGCCCTGTAACTCCAGCCGCTGCCGCTGCCCCAGCCCCAGCCTGCCGGCCCCTCCTTCACCTCAGCCTCTGGCGGAGCTGCCCACAATGCCTTCCATTCAGCCCTGTCCCCGCTGCCGGGCCCACAGGCAGGGAGGGGGGCTCCCGCCTGCATCCAGACTAGGACGGACACAGCTTTTCCCTTGCGCTGCACCTCCAGGCTGGACTGACCCTAGGCGGTGGCATGGAGGGGTGAGTCTTTGGGCCCCGGGGTTGGGGCAGGGGCAGGGGGATTGGAGAAGCTGAGCGGCTGAAGTCAAGCCCCCACCCCTCTCTGGGCCTCCGGGATCTGCCTGGGCAGAGCTTCTCCAAGGGTCTCCTCCAAGTGGGTTCTGAGGAAGGTGGTGTGGGGGAATGTGGCTGCTCCTGTGGCTAGTCCCTTGGGGGCTTGTCTGAGAACTCTGTGGCCCTCTGAGCCCTGGAGGCTTGTCCCCTGGATCTGTCCCTCCTCCCAGTTGCCCTCCCTGCCCCACCCTTGAGCCTCAGCCTCCCCACAGACTGGGGAGTATCACCAGCTCCAGGGCCAGGGCTGGACTCTGGGACCCCAGGGAGACTGAAAAACAGATGATTGACAAAGTACTGAGCAGAAATGGGGGAGACTCAGGGCAGGGGCCCGGCCCAGGGATCCAAAGAGTCCACTCCGAGGTCCTGACAGCTAAAAAGCGGGAGGAAGAGCTGGGTGCCCTGTGTGTCATCGGTGGAGAGGAGCCAAGTGCTGACGCTGGAGAGTCTGAGCCGGGTCTTCCCACCACAGGCAGAGGAAAGGTGCTGGAGGGCTTTCAGCCATGGTGTCTGAGCCCAGCTGTACTTTGGAAAGTTCCCTTTGGTGGTTGGTGGTGAGCGGGGCCCCAGGGAAGACAGGAGACCCTGAGGCAGGGGTCGGCCCCAGGACGCAACAGGCAGTGGCTGAAGTTTTGGCTTGAGGAGGTCCAACAGGGGAGGGGGAGGATGGACAGATGGTTGGACAGACAGGTAAGTGGATAGGCCCTGCCTGAAGCCCGGCCCTAAACCCAGACCCTCGTGTCCGCACCCCAGCCCTGGCCAGCTGGTGGCACTAAGATGAAGGGGGCCAACAGGGATGGAAACAGGAGAGAAGGGGCTGAGCCAAGCCGGCTCAGCCGTGAGGGTGGCTCTGACCAGTCACTCAGGCTCCTCCAGGCTCTCGGAGCCTACAACCTGGCCAGGCCTCAGTCCTCCCCTCGGGCTGCCGGGCCACCTTCTCGAGGTGGATGCGGCTTTTGGAGGACTGTCTGCTTCTCTCTCCGCCACCAAGCTCACACTGGGGGGGTCCAGGCCTCCCCCAGACCCCGGAGCCTCAGCACAGCCCGGCACCGACGGAACACCGTTCAGCAAGGCCCCACGGGGCCACTGGGCAGACAGCTGCAGGGATGGGCCAGGTTGCCTCTCTAAGCCTCAGTTTCCTCCAGCATAAAACAGGGCTGACGGTGTCTGCTGCATGTCAGGGGTGGGGGGCGCTCCTGGGGCTGAAGGACCAGAGCCTGGGCTCAGTGCATGGACAATGTGGGACCCCTGCTCCTGTGAACAGCAGACTCTCCCTCTGCCAGGCCCCAAAGTGTCTCCTTGGTCCTGCTGCTTTTTCTGCTGCTTCCACTGGGCCCAACTTGGCATGCGGCCGCCCAGCGCTGCCCACAGACCTGCGTCTGCGACAACTCCAGGCGGCATGTGGTCTGCCGGCACCAGAACCTCACTGAGGTGCCCAATGCCATTCCCGAGGTCAGCAGTGTGAGGCAGGGGGCTGGGGGCGGGTGGGACGGCAGGAGGAGACTGGGCTGGCATGGGAGGGTCCGCTGCTACCTGGCTGAGAGGAGACCTTGGAAAGTAGCTTTCTTCTCTGAGCCTCAGTCTTCACATCTGTAAAATGGGAATGATAACCAACAACAGGGAGATAAGCTATCTGAAATCCTCTGTGATTGGCACCAGTTGGTGACCTGTAGGTACGAATTGAATTAATTGTAGACCCTGGGGCAGAGAACTGGGAATAAACTGGGGGAAGACACAGTCTCTGCCCTATGGAGTCAAGAACTAGTGGGTAAAAGAGGAAGTAAGTGGGCAGTGACAATTCAGTGTGAAAAGTGCCAGAGTCGGGGATGCCCAGGTGGCGGAGGAGGAAGGCTTCCTGGAGGAGGTGTCAGGGAGCAGGATGAAGAGAATGAGAGAAAGGTGATGTGGAGGAGTCCCAGGTGAGGGAGATTAGCCAGCAGCACTGGCCGTGGGACTCACTGTGCTCAGTCTCCCTGCCTCTCTCCCCGCTCAGCTGACCCAGCGGCTGGACCTCCAGGGCAACGTGCTGAAGGAGATCGTTTCAGCTGCCTTTCAGGACCTGCCCTATTTGACACACCTGGACTTGCGGCACTGCCAGGTGGAGCTGGTAGCTGAGGGCGCCTTTCGGGGCCTGGGCCGCCTGCTTTTCCTCAACCTGGCCTCCAACCGCCTGAGTGCGCTGCCCCAGGAGGCGCTGGACGGACTGGGCTCGTTGCGGCGGCTGGAGCTGCAGGGGAACATGCTGGAGGAGCTGCGACCTGGGACTTTTGGGGCACTGGGAGCACTGGCCACACTCAACCTGGCCTACAATGCCCTCGTCTACCTGCCCGCCATGGCCTTCCAGGGGCTGGTGCGCACCCGCTGGCTGCAGCTGTCCCACAATGCGCTCAGTGTGCTGGCCCCGGAGGCTCTGGCTGGCCTGCCCGCTCTGCGCCGGCTCAGCCTGCACCACAATGAGCTGCAGGCCCTGCCGGGGCAGGCCCTGTCCCAGGCCCGCAGCCTGGCCCATCTGGAGTTGGGCCACAACCCATTCACCTATGCAGGGGAGGAGGATGGGCTGGTGCTGCCCAGCCTGCGGCAGCTGATGCTGGACCACGGGGCTCTGCAGGCCCTGGACCCCAGGGCTTTTGCCCACTGCCCGCGCCTGCACACCCTGGACCTCCGCGGAAACCAGCTGGACACTCTGCCACCATTGCAGAGCCCAGGGCAGTTGCGCCGGCTGCGGCTGCAGGGGAACCCGCTGTGGTGCGGGTGCCAGGTCTGGCCACTGCTTGAGTGGTTGGCACGGGCACGCGTGCGCTCAGATGGCGTGTGCAGGGGGCCCCGCCGCCTACAAGGAGAGGCCCTGGACGCCCTGCGGCCCTCAGATCTGCGCTGCCCAGGAGACCCAGCAGAGGATGAGGAGGGAGAGCTGGCGGCCGTGAAGCCCCGTGCCCCTCCCAGTGCTCCCAGAGAGGAGGACGGGGCCGCCCGGCCCTGCCCACGCGCCTGTGTGTGTGCCTCTGAGTCCCGGCACAGCAGCTGTGAGAGCCGAGGCCTGCAGGCCGTGCCCCGAGGCTTCCCCAACGACACCCAACTCCTGGACCTGAGGCAGAACCACTTCCCCGTGGTGCCCCAAGCAGCCTTCCCGGGCCTGAGTCACCTGGTGTCACTGCACCTGCAGCACTGCCGCATTGCGGAGCTGGAGGAGGGCGCCCTGGCAGGGCTGGGCAGCCTGCTCTACCTCTACCTCTCCGACAACCAGCTCTCGGGCCTCAGCGCTGCTGCCCTGGAAGGGGCCCCCCACCTTGGCTACCTGTACCTGGAGCGAAACCGCTTCCTGCAGGTGCCCAGCGCTGCCCTGCGCACCCTGCCTCGCCTCTTCTCCCTGCACCTGCAGGGTAATGCAGTGGGCCACCTGGCACCTGGGGACCTGGCGGGCATGCAGGCCTTGCACTGGCTCTACCTGAGTGGGAACCGTATCACCCAGGTGTCCCCAGGGGCACTGGGCCCAGCTCCGGAGCTAGAGAAGCTGCACCTTGACAGGAACAAGCTACAAGAGGTGCCCACTGGGGCTTTGGAGGGGCTGCCTGGCCTCCTGGAGCTGCAGCTCTCAGGGAACCCGCTCAGGGCCCTGCAGGATGGGGCCTTCCGGCCGGTGGGCCAATCACTGCAGCAGCTGTTCCTGAACAGCAGTGGCCTGGAGCAGGTGGGCACAGGAGGGATGCGGGGGAGGTGGCACAGCCTTGTGCAGTGAGCAGTCACTCAACAAACACTGCCAACCCCGCAGTGCCTGGCCCGGGGCTGGGAGTGCAGACCCTGAGATAAGCCACACTGCTCCTGCCCTCAGGGAACCCAGGTGTGAGTGACAGTAGGTGGAATCCAGCGCCACTCAGAGAGGCCTGCCAGGGAGACACGCAGGAGGGACACATGTGTCCACAGGGTCACCTACTGTTGTATACTTTCAGGGCAGGGCTGGAGCCCCCAAGAGGCTTTGCCATTATTGGGGAGGGTTCAGGCAAAGCAGGAAGAACCATGAATCAGGCCCAGGTGTCTTGCAAAGGGCAATTGCTTTGGGATCAGACGAACCTACGATCCCACCACCGCTCTGCCCTTCCTCCTCGGCCACCTTGGGGGTCCCCATTTCCCTTCTGCTAGGGGAGCATGAGCCTCCCTCTCTAGTCCGACAAGAACTCACTCCTGGGCCTGGCACCTCCTTGCAGATTTCTCCCGGGGCCTTCTCGGGCCTGGGGCCCCGGCTGCAGAGCCTACACCTGCAGAAGAACCAGCTGCAGGCCATGCCTGCCCTGCCCGGCCTCAGCCAGCTGGAGCTGGTCGACCTCAGTGGCAATCCCTTCCGCTGTGACTGCGAGCTGCTCCCGCTTCACAGGTGAGTACCTCCACCTGGACCCCCGCTGGGAGCCCGCCAGCTGCCCGCAGTCAAGCCCCCACCATCCCCCCAGGACACCGTGTCTGCCTGGCTGAGAAGCTTTGGGAGCAGGGGCCTGTGCCAGCTGCCATTCCTGGGGGAGCCAGTGTGCACTGGTTTGGGGGTGAACTTTTTGAGCCTAAAGTCCATCATCCACAGAATGGGGATGAGATCCTCTCAGCCCAGTGGGGCTGGACCTAATCAATATTCGTGGACACTTCACATAATTACATGGGAAAGCAAGGAAGACCCTGGAGTCCCACAGACCCAGGTGAAATCCAGTGCTGTCTGACAGGCTGACGAGGGCCACATGACCTGTCTGTGCCAGGTCCTCATCTATAAAGGGGACGATAGTAATCCTGTCCATCTTGTGGCAGTGGCTTGTTAAGAATTACATTGAGCCCTGGCTGGTGTGGCTCAGGGCAGAGTGTCGGCCTGTGAACCAGAGGGTGGCAGGTTTGATTCCCGGTCAGGGCACATGTCCACATTGCAGGCCAGGCCCCCAGTAGGGGGCATGTGAGAGGCAACCACACACTGATGTTTCCTCCCTCTCTTTCTTCCTCCCTTCTCCTCTCTAAACTAAGTAAATAAAATATTTTTAAAAATTAAAAAGAAAAAGAGTCACATTGAACTAGTTACATGAATACATTGGTTTGACCAGCGCTTGGACCACCAGCCCTTTGTAACTGTTATCACTATGACTACCCCCTTGTTACAGAGGGAATGTGAGGTTGGAAGTGACTTGCTCGGGGTCACAAGGTCCAGGGTTCCATCCTCATGCACGAGGCCCCACTGACCCAGATTCTCTAGGACCTCCGTGCTGTCCCCAGGAGATCTCAGCACCCTGGGTTCTTCGAACTCTCTCCCCTCAGGTGGCTCACTGGGCTGAACCTGCACGTGGGAGCCACCTGTGCCACCCCCGCCAGCGCCCGTGGCCAGAGGGTGAAGGCTGCAGTTGCTGTCTTTGAAGCCTGTCTGGGCTCGGCTGCCAGGAAGGCCAAGCGGACACCCAGTGCCAGGAAAACCCACACGAGGGGCAGACGGTGGGGAGCAGACAAGGTTGGTCACGGGGCAGGCGTGGAGGCCTGGGTGCGGGGATCAGGTTCCAGAGCTCCAGGGGTAGCAGGGCTCCGACTTCTCTCCGTCCCGGTCTTGTATGGTTCTTGATCTGGGCAATGACCGGCTTGCTCCTGCTCAGCGATGTCCATCCCCTCCTCCCCTGGCCTGGCCTGGCCCGGGCCCAGGGAGGTCTGCAAGGACTGGCTGTGTCACGTTATTCCAATCTGTGGGGTAGTGGCCTCTCGATAAGCCATAGCACATGGACCCGACGTGCCCACGGAGTCAGTTCCGCTGTTACTGTGATCACTGGGTCTCTGTGGACGGAACCATTTTCCACCCTGGCCTCAAGGGCCTGGCTCATCCCTGGGGCGGGCGGAGCAGCCGTGGTGGTGCCTCCGCTGCTTCTCGGCCACAGGTTGGACGCCACTCCGCATCAGCCCATCCCACCGCCCCCCCCCCCCCCCCCGTTACGCTCACCATCCCGACGAACATTCACACTTGGGAGCTTAGCTGTAGTGAAATCTCGCAGCACATTAAAGAGTGAGTGGGGTGCGGGCGCCTCTCCACGCGTGGTGAGGGCACCTGGTCGGGGGCCACAGAGGAGTTGTCAGTCCTTACAGAGAAAGTGAGAGCAGGACAAGGGGGCACTGGGAAGGTGGGGAGAGGGCCCGCATTTTGAACAGGTGGGGTGCTAGCTCCCTCGGCGGCCAGAACAAAGCGCTGCACGCTGCTCACACCAATGATCTCATTGCCCTGGAGGTGGCGCGTCTGAAATCCAGGCAGAGCCACGCCCCCTCTGACGGCTCCAGAACAGGGTCCTTCCTGCCCTCTCAGCTTCTGGTGGCCCCAAACATCCCTCGTCTGTGGCAGCACAACTCCAGTCTGTCTCCATCTTTAGATGGTATCTCCTTATGTCTTTTTATTTACTTATTTTTAGAAAGAGGGGAAGGGAGGGAAAAAGAGAGGGAGAGAAACATCCATGTGTAGTTGCCTCTCATGCGCTCCCAACTGGGGACTTGGCCCAAAACCCAGGCATGTGCCCTAACTGGGAATCAAACTGGCAACCCTTTAGCCTCCAGGCCACAGTCAGTCCACTGAGCCACGCCAGCCAGAGCTTCCTTTCATGTTTCCATCATCTCATTACCTCCTTGGGCGCCTTAATTCCCCCTTTTTATAAGAAGTCATATTAGGGTCCACCCTAATGACCTGATTTGAACTTGTTACCTCTGTGAAGACTTTTTCTAAATAAGGTCTTACTCTGAGGTCCAGCCTCTTTGGAGGGACAGAATTCAACCCCAGTGTTCCTTGTCAGGGTAGGCTGGGAGGGAGAACCCTTAAAAAGACCCCAAGCTGGAAGTGAGCAGCTCTGCCTTAGAAGCAAGACCTTAATGACAACAGCAGTGTGGGTGTCCCTGACACTCGCGTGGCACCTACTTGCCACCAGGCCTTGTGCTGATCAACAGCACCGGGCTGTCCCTGTGTCAGCCCAGGGAGCCCATGGAGTAGACCTGATGGGTCCGCCTCCAGGTCAGGGCTTTAGTTCAAAGGGAAGCCCCCCGCCCTGGCTGGTGTAGCTCAGTGGGTTGAGAGCCGGCCTGTGAAATAAAAGGTCGCCTGCTAGATTCCCAGTCAGGGCACAAGTCTGGGTTGTGAGCCAGGTCCCCAGTAGGGGGTGCACAAGAGTCACCTACACATTGCTATTTTCCTTTCTCCCTCCCTCTAAAAATAAAATCCTAAAGAACCTTTGTGAGCCCCCACCCGCCTCAGTATTGGTGGCCGTAGCCAGGCACTGGGACACCTCTACCAACTCCAACAGGCCACCCTTTCCCGACATGAAGATATTCCACCCAAGGCCGCACTTGGACCTCTAGGTTTTCATCTTTGTTTTGTTGAAAGTGACAGTTCTTTCCCAGGAGCACAAAGGAATCTAAGGGCGAGGGTCCAGAGGCCCAGCGGGTGTTCTGGGAGGGGTGCTGTGGCCCAGGCTGGCCCACGCACCGCCCTCTCCTTGGAAGCCCGGCCTCTAGTGTGGTGTTCGGCCTGTGGGAGACTCGCAAACACGTCGGGTGAACAGATGGGTGCAGGGTGTCGGCAGAGCAGCCAATCGACTGGGGCTCGATCCCACTGCTGTCGTTTCAGTCAATTCCAGCAACCAAGTCGCTGGCCCGCGGGGAGCCTTCTTATCCTCGCAGGCCTCCTGTGCAGACGGTAAAAGCTGTGCACAGGAGGCAGGGCCTGTCAGAACCAGCCATCCCCTTCCTCCCTGGCCCCTCGAGCAGAGCCAAGGGGTGGCCTGGGTGAAAAGAAATGTGTGAGGTGGGGGGGGGGTCCCTTGAACATTTGGATTTGGTCTGACTCGCACCCGGAAGCGCCTGCACGGCAAGCAGTGGGAGGTGGGGAGAGTGCCCACCGCTGAGACCGCCCAAGGGGTCGAGGTGCAGGCTCATTCTGTGCCGTGGCGTCCCAGGGGCCCACACTTGCATCTGCGGTACGTCAAACCGCCATTTGTGCCCCAGTAACACCAGTTACCACTCCAGTATCACACTCGCACGATGCCAGGCCCTGCAGAGGGTCCGAGGGACAGACAAGGCACAGGCTCAGCCTTTGGGCAGCTCGGGGTCGAAGGGAGTGGCAGAAACGAAGATGTCAGTTGCTCTGGAGACCAGCCCTCGGAAGGTGACAGGCGAAATTGATTATTCTCGCCACAGGTCGACTTTGTAATCGTCCCCAAGGTGGCACACAGAACACACTGCTGTAAGGAACAAACACCCAACAGACTGCATTTATTGTCTCATTGTCTGGGAGGCCAGCCCAGGGCTCAAGTGGCGGCTGAACCTGTCCCCCGGCCCTGCCCTGGGAACCATGGGGTCTTTGTGCCCTGGGCGCCCACAGTAGCAGACACGCCCTCATCCAAGGAGGGACTAAAGGCCGTAAGGCCATGCTGGCCGTTTCCTCACAAGCTCTTCAGTCAGAACTGGACCCCTTACTAGCAAGGGGGTCATTTCTACTGGGCACACTGCCCTCGGCAAAGGCAGAGCTCCATGAGCAGGCCCTCTTCCTCCCTGGGGACTGATGCCACTGACCAGCCACCACCGTCTGGGATGGGGGGTGTGAGAGAGAGAGGGACGGCTGTCCGTTTTTGGTCTTCACTGTCCCAAACGCGGCCGCTTTTTGGAGCACTCAGGCTGCACCGACAGGCTGCTCTCCACACTGTGCAGGTCTGCCTCCAGCAAGATGCCGGCCAGGCGCTCTGAATGGACGGGAAATCGGCTCCCTGGGCCACTCTCCCCATCTTGGGGTGGGACCAACTGGCCATGGCCCTGACAGCCCAGCTCAGGGAGGCTGCTGGGCACCAGCCAAGCTCGGCTGCACACTGAGACTCCGTCTGCCCACCCGGCAATGCGGTCCTCGCCCCAAACTTGGGAGGAAAGAAAAGGGCCGAGACCGCAGCTTCGGTGTCAGGTTCCAGAAAAAGCAGTTCATGGAGACAGGAAGAGCAGTTCATCGGAAAGGAGAGTTTCAAGGGAGACTAAGAGGGGAAAAAAGCGCTGTAGTTCAGGCGAACACTAGGTGAACTGGAACAGAATTCCAGAGAAGAGCAGGGAAAGACCTAAGGGCAGGGTGAAGGGCTTGGACAGGAGAGGGAGCCAGGAAGTGCGGCCTGTTACCCCCTTCTCAGGCGGGGTCTCCATCACAGCCAGGCCAAGCTCCCCTTCCACACGCCGCCCAGCCCCGTCCACCACCAACCCTCCCCAAGGCACATGGGCTGGTATGGTCTCCCCTCCCTAGGCCCCGGGCAAACCCCCCAGCCCAGGGAGCAGACCCCACCGGTCCCACCAGCGCTTTTAGAAATGGGAGTCAGTGTTCCTGCCAACAGAGGACACAGGTCAAGGCCACCTCGCGAGTCACTGAAACCGACACTGGTCACTGCCTCTGCTGCCTACCGCAGATGGGTGTGTCGCACGGGGCTGCCCAACCTCCCTACGGTGCTGGGACGGGCAGAACCCAACCAGGAGGCAAGCAGGCCACTTGGTTGCATCAGACAGAAGCTGACCCGGTACTCCGCTCAGCATCCATCAGGTGACTCTGCCCCTCAAGAGCTGCCACAGGCCTTTATTTCTGCGACCTGCTCGGGCACCCACACACACACTTCACTGCCTTGTCTTGCAGTGTGACTGGAGGACAGCCTCCCACCCCCGGCGACTGAGGGCTCTGGTGGGCGTGGAGGGAAACTACCAGAAGGGAGGGCTTCGGAAACTAGCGGGAGAGGGAGCCACTCCCAGACCAGTGTGGGGACTCCGGGCAGTCCCAGGCACTAGGCCTTGCCAGAGAGGGCAGAGGTCACAGGGTGGGTCAAAGGAGACCCTGGCTGGTCCTTCAGTGCCAGGGACCCTCAGCACCAGGCCAAATTTATGCAGAAAGGCTCAGTCTCCAGGTTAAAGTGCGGTGGTGGTGACAGAGGAGCCCTGGGCTGGCGTCCTAGGTGGCCAGGCTGGTGGCAGGGACAAGTCAGTCTTCTGTCTCCTGTTTGATGTTCTCAAGGGAAACAGGCAGCTCTGGACTCGGGGCCTTGTCCGGCGTGGCTGCATCCACGTGCTCTTCCTTCACACGCACAGTGATGACTGCGGGGGGGTGGGTGCGGAGGCAGGGAGAGAGAGGGGGTTGGGAGAGACTGCGTGTCACTCTGGGAAGGGCAGGGTCTGGGGAAGGGGTTTTGCTTCCCACAGATGGGGGCGTCCGGGTGAGGTGGGGAGAAGGCGGGGCCCTGCCACATGCCCGCCGGGCAGGAGCTGCTCGGCTCCGTTCAGATCTTCGGGTGGGTATCTGGGAGCCCTGTGGGCCCAGGGGTCTGAGAATGGCTGCTTGGCACCCAGAAGATTCCCTTCAACACTGACTGCGCTTTTCCATGCCCAGGCGGGGAAGAAGGGCCGCCTCTGAGCCCCGGAGCAGGCCGGCCCTGCCTCGCCCTGAGCGGCTCTTACTCTCATCGGGAGCAGACGGGACCTTCCCTGAGGCCTTTGGACCCTCCTCCAGCAGGGGCTTCTTTGACCCCTGTCTCAGGGGCCGGGTCCTGGTCGGCGGTATTCTTTTCCCTTTGAATAAAAATGGAATCACACTCAGCATTAGGGTTACATTCATGTGAGGCTTGAAGGCTGGGTCTCACCCAGCAGGTGGGACAAAGGGTAGAGGCCACGGTACCAGTTTGGGGGAACTGGCCTAAACCTTTGACATCAGCCCTCAGTCCCTGGGCTCAGAGCGCTCCATATCCTCCCGCGATCTTTCATTTATTTTTAGAGGGGAAGGGAGGGAGAAAGAGGGGGAGAGAAACATCAGCGTGTGGTTGTCTCTCGTGTGCTCCCTACTGGGGACCTGGCCCACAACCCAGGCACATGCCCCGACCCGGAATCGAACTGGCCATCTTTTGGTTTGTAGGCCGGCACCCAATCCACTGAGCCACACCAGCCAGGGCCCCTCCCACGACTCTCTGTGCTCAGGGGCCCCGACTGCTGGCTCTGTCCCATTTCGGTCATCCTCTTCTCTGTGTGGTGCCAGGTCATGGACATCACTTCACCGCCACCGGCCCCGACGGCTCTGCCTCCTTCAATCCCAGCACCTTCAACCTGATGCCCCTTGAGCTAAGCCTGTGCTGGACCCGCTGAGAGTTGGGGCACCACCCAGGGAAATGACCCTGAAGCCCTGTGGCCGCCCTCGGGGAGCAGCTTCTGTTTCTGCCACTGCCTCCGACGTTCACACCCAGCAGCTCACACTGCAGGGAGGCCAGTTTCTGCCACGCGGGCCGCAGGGCCGGGGCCCTTCCCGTTTCAAACACAACCTCTTGTCTTTTCCTTGGCATCCCACACGCTGCCAGAGACTGAGGCTCTCGGTTACGGATGCTCTGGGTCTCTGAAGACAGGATGACGGCCCGTGGGGCCAAAGGGCAAGGGGAGGAGATGGAGTGACTGCCATCAGCACCTAAGTGATAGCTCCCAGGGACACAGGCCTGGCTGATGTCAGGTCCTACACCAGCCCAGGCTGCTTTACAACAGTACTTACTTTTCTTTCCAAACTGTTTCTTTTTCTTTTTCGTGGCCTCTTTGGCCTTCAGAGGTGCAGTGGGCTCTATTGTTGAAAAACAAGGACAAGAGGTGAGGAGAGACTGAGAGGACAGAGGCAGCGGCACATCCCGAGACCCCTGCCCACCCGCACCAGCCTCCCTTACATACGGGACACCCCAAGAAGGAAAGTTAAAGTTGGGCAACGAGAGTGGGGGAGGGTCGGGGGGAGGGACTGGAGAACAGCTGTCCCTTCCCACCCTCGTCACCAGGGCTGCTCCGAGGGACCTGGGTAGTTTACCTGGGTGCATAAGGGCACGAGCATATGACAGAGTGGGCAAGATCAAGGAAGGAGCTCTGCAGGCCAGAGGGAAAGGGAGACAGAGAAGTCAGGAGCAAGGGTGGTCCAGGAGACTTCTCGATCTCATGCCAAAGAATGAGGTGGGAACAGGACATGGGGGGGGTCGGCAAGAAGGAAGAAGGAAAGTCAAGAGCCCCTCAGGGCTGCAAGAACCCAGACCTGTGGCCACGGGTGGCTGGAGCTGGTAGCCAGTGAGCTCGCACCAGCCCACGGGGTAGATGTCCGGGGACTCACAGTCCACCCACTGGTCATACTCGTTGTCCCAGCCATCGAAGTGGATGCTGAGGAGCCGATGCACCACCCGTTTCACCGTGGCCACGCAGATGAGCCGGGGTTCCATCAGGTCCACGGCCTCCAGCTTCATGCCCACCTTGAAGCCGTGGTTGGGGCAGTCCTGGGGAGCAGGAAGGAGGCAGTGACCAAGCCAGCCTGCTCCCCGGCCCAGTGGGGCAGAACTGGGCAGGGGGTGCCTGTGGGGGAGGTCCCTTGGCCCCACTGTACTTCGTGCCCAAGCACCAGGCCCCGTGGAAAGGGGAGCGGTTGAACTGTGGGGCGCAATGCCTGTGGCAGGGCTGGGGCTTTTCCCTGGAAGGGGCGGATCGCAGCAGGAGAGACAGTGGGCAGGGCCAGTTCTGAGGCCGCCCTGGGCACCCCCGCCCTGCTCCCGGTCTCCTCACCATGTTGAAGAGCCTTGACGGAGCTGCTTTGGACCTGGTCTTCTCCAGGTAGGCGTCCCAGCTGAAAGTGTGCCTCTCGTACCCTGCAGGGGCAGAAGGGGCAGAGGGTGCAGATGCAGAGGGAGGAGGGGAGCTGCCAAAGGGGCGCCTGCAGCTTGGCTGGGCCACTCGTACCTTTCGGGGGTGTGAGCTCGATGTCATTCTTTTGGCAGAAGGTGGCTGGGAAGATGGCGTGGGAGGAGGCGTGGTAGCAAAACCAGTCGGAGCCATTTGTGGAAGGCCCCCCATCCACAGAGATCATCAGGTAGCCATCCAGGAGGACCTGGGGGGTCGAATCGGGGGGCAAACACAGAATATGGGATCATGAGCTGCACCCCCACCCCAGGGGCAGGGCGGCTGCCGTGGGGACTCGAGGCTGAGGATCCACTCAGAGCCGGGTGTCAGCTCACCCGCACTGCTGCCCCAGACCTCCCAGGTGAGGTCTGTAACCATTGCTTGCGAGGTCACTGACCTCTCGCACCAGAGGGCAGTCCACGCCCACAGGGACCATGTCTGTCTTTTTGCCACTGTGCTCTCAGTGGCGAGCGCATGGACCCTGCCTGGAGATCAGCGGAATGGACAAACGAGCACGTCTCCCAGGAAGGCCGAGGTCATTTGCTCCTCAGGCTGCAGCAATCACAGGGGAGGTTCTTAGCAAAGCCAGCCCCACTGTGGCACTCAGCTAGGCTAGGCCAGCACCCAAAGGAGATGGCATGTGGCTGTGGGGCGGTCCCCAGGGAGGTGAAAGGGTAGGGCCTACACCTGACACAGGAGCGGGATTGAACCAGAATGTGACCAATAAACACCTGACCAGTGCACCTCGGACCCTGACATGAAAGCAGATGTCAAGCAGGTGCAGGTGAGTCTCCTCACACAATCAGGTACCAGGGGCACGCAGCCCAGGAATGTGGGAGGGCCGTGGAGTGCAGGGCTCTGCACCCTCGCCCTCCCCCGAGAAAGCCTTACCGGAGGTCGGAGGGCCAGTCCCCGGCTCACCTTGCAGATGGTTGCCACACAGATGTTGCCCAGATTCAGGGGGTCAATGGCCTCCAGCTTCATCCCCTCCTCAAACCAACCGCCTTCTGTGTAGACAGCTCGAACCTTAAAGGAATGGGACAGTAGGGGAATCTGGGCCTGCCCAAGCGCGGGGTCGGCGGGGCAGGCCTCACTGGCCATGGACCAGGAAGGAATCGGGGAGGACCAGGGTCCCGAGGCCTGGAATGGACCCACGGTCAAGGGGGAAAGTGCCAAGGGCTATGCCTCACCTTCTTGAACAGGTAAGGAACGGCATCACAGTAGATTTTCCGGAAGGTGGGATGGTGGGCCATGTCGCTGCGCCTCTCTTTTGGGAAGATGGCAGAGGGAGAGAAGGGAGTTGAAGGCTGCAAAGATGCCATGGCTACTACACCCGCCCCAGAAACATGGGTGCTGCCCGCGTGTGCTGTAGCCTGTGTCTCCACCCCCGTCCTCCTAGACTAGACCGAGCACAGCAGGCACTCTGCAGGGAGCACTCAGACCCAAGACCCCGGCTGTTCCCATGATAAAGAAGATGGGCCTTCCAAGCTGAGTGACCTTGGTCTCTCTGGGCCTCAGTCCTGACACTGGCAGGGTGGAGAGGACGACCTCTTGCAGGGAGCGTTCTCAGGGGCACAGGTGTGATCCAACCAGGCCTTGGGGCAGCGGAGCCTGGGGTCGTGCTGGCCTAGGGTTCTGCTAACCTGACAGCTTGATGCCGTGGCCGACACGTCGTGACCAACCCACTGGGTGGATCAGGGGGCTCCACATGTGACACCAGAAGTCGTCATCACTGTCGCCATCCTCATAGAGGAGCCGCAGGCGACCCCCAATTACCGTGTCCACCACGGCCATGCGGGTCCGTGACACCTGGGACTTGTCCACCACCTCCAGCCGCATGCCCTGCCGAAAGGGGTACTTCATGCTCTCCACCATCTGTAACACCAGAACACAGGCCTGCTGTGGGCACGCGGGCCCTCCCTCCACCTTCCTGTTCGTCTCTCACAAGTGAGCAGGGAAGAGGGAACGCGGGGTGCAGCCACCCCGAGCACTAGTCAGGAAGTTAGCCCTCCTGTCCTGGCAGGTCCACCCTGACCTCCAAGTCCTTAGAGTGGCCGTGAGAGAAGGCACACCACCTACAACGTGCACACCGGAACGCCAGGGAGCCAGTCCGACGGGAGTCACTAAACCTTCCTCGGAGAAAGGGAACAGGGGCCCAGGGAGGCCGACCGACTCGCGCAGAGTCACTCTCAGGAGCGCAGAGCTGAGCCTCGAACCTGGCCAGTCCCAGTCTCCAGCCTTGTGCTCTTCACGGGATGTGCACTCTGATCCGACAGGCACCCCACATGCCCCTCTCCCTCCGGCCCCCTACTAATGGCACACACAGGAGCCTCCTGTCCAGAGCCAAGGGGTCCCCTAGGCTTCCATATGCCTCATTCCAGCTCTGGCCTCACTGGGCTGCGGCTCTGAATGGCTGTCCCAGCACCTAAGCAGCAATGCTTACCCTCAAATGCAGCAAGGGGACAGGGACCCCAAGAGGCCCATGAGCTGCTCTAGAGAGCCCTGATGGCAGGCACACATGAGAGGGTAGGGGCTTCTTTGCTTGCTGTGACTTCAGTGAGGACCGGGCACAGCATGCTGCAGGGTGGTCCCAGCCCAGGGGCCCGGCTGGCTCAGGGAGAACCAGCCTCAGCCTGGCCTGGGCAGAATGAGCTGTGGGTTTACATCCCCTGGAAAGGGGAGTGTCTCAAAGGTAACAACACAGCCACCAGGAATAGCTGACACAGTCCCTCACCACAGACCCTCCGCCTTCAACTCACAGCTAGAACCACTGCCCCAACACTGGTGGCCCAGCCTGCCCACTTAGGAGAGTGGGAGATGCAGGGGAGGCTGGGGTGGGGCCACTCTGGGCTGCCTCCCTGCCTAGAGGCTCTTCCAGATACAGTCCCTTCCTCTGCACCCACCCAGTGCAGCCGGTAACCCAACACCACCTTACCACCCACGTTCATTGTCACCCTGGAACATGAGCTCTCTGATGACAAAAGCTAGTTTAGGTCTGATTCCTGTCCACAGTCTCAGTCCAGAGCACAGAGAACTAGTGATCAGTTCATGATTTTTCTCAACAACGAACAACGAGCAGATGACCTTGGCTGATGGGTCATTAATTCAGAACATTTTACTAAGAACTAACTGTATTGCAGGCATTGAAGGGCACATCTGAAGTTCCCTCCACAAACCCTGCCTCTTATCCCCCCCCAGCCCCCGGCTTCTCGGGCAGTTGACAGACAGTAAATGAAGCCCACCGACGGGTTCCTGTGGGACCCTGTTCTGCCACCCAGAATCACACTCTCTTTAATTCAGGCAGAAAACAGGCCACCCTGATACCCACAGTGGCCTTCGCCACCACATCCATCCGCCTCATCTTAAGATGAGGGCCAGCTGAGAAAGAGTGAATGGATCCTCTTCAACCGCAAATCTGTCAGCTGTGCAAGGCACTATGGGAAATGCAGGTGAAAACAAGCATACAGTTTTGCTGGAAATATGAAAAAATGATAACATATAAAGAGATAAACAGCAAAGGAGTAGTACCTACTGAATTCAAGTAAGGGAAAGATCACTTCTACTTAGGGAAAAAAATTCCGAGAATACTTGTCGAGGTGCCTGAAATGACCCCTTGCTGAAGGCCAGCTCTCCACCTGCTAAGGCCATGGTGGCCACCTTTACACCTGGTGTCCAGTGCCTTGGCAAGATGGCCCCATCTTCCATTCCATCCTTGTTTTCCAGTGCTGGCTTCCATACCAGCCACATCCTAACCATCGAGGTCGAATTCAAATGCCCCTTTCTCCATGAAGCCTTCCTTGATACCTGCTCTTCCTGAGGTCCCAAAGCCAGTTCCACTCCGTACATGGCAGCACCTGCCCCACACCCCCACACACTGCTGCGACCCCCAGGCACCCGGGGGGGCAGGCCCACAGCAGGTCTGGCACAGAGTACGGGAGACTCCACCTCCACTGTGCACCCTTGAGATGCCTTTGAATTTCTACCATGTGTGTGACTTTTTAGGTTAAAGAATTAAATGTTTTTTAAAATACTTAACTTATTTTTAGAGAGGGAAAGGGAGGGAGAACGAGTGAAAGAAACATCAATGTGTGGTTGCTTCTCATGTACCCCCAACCAGGAACCTGGCCTGCAACCCAGGCACGTGCCCTGACTGGGAATCGAACCAATGACCCTTTGGTTCAGGCTGGCACTCAATCCACTGAGCCACAGCAGCCCAGGGCAGAAGTTTTAAAAACTAAAATGAAAAGCCACATGCGTGATTCTGAAGCACATCCCTGGTGCAGAACCAGGGCTAGTTTATAATTACTCATTTCCTCTGCCCGACTGGACAGGCCCGGACTGCAGGGTCTGTGTTCCCACAGAGCCCTGTACAGAAGTACTTAACAGTAAGATCTACTGAACAAACACTCCCGGAAAACGCTGAGCGCAAAGGGAGGGCTCGGGGAGAACAAAGGGCAGACGCCGCAGTGTAGTTGGTGTGGCCGGTGTGGCCGGCGGGAGCTCTGGGTGGGGCGGAGGCTGACGTCTGGCTGGGAAGGCAGCAGGAATGACGTCCTTCCTAGAGAAACACGGAACCGCTACAGACTGTTAAACAAGGGGCCTGAGGAAGTAATCCAACGAGTAGTGGGAAGCACATAAAGTGGGAGGAGGGAGCCCTGGCTGGGTTGCTCAGTTGGTTGGAGTGGCATCCGAATACAACAAGGTTGCAAGTTCAATCCCCGGTCAGGGCGTACAAGAGTCAACCAATAAATACACAAATAAGTGGAACAACAAAAACTGATGTTTCTCTCTCTCTCTCTCAAAACTTTTTTTTTAATAGGAGGAAGATCACTTGGGAGACCCACAGGGCTCACTGCCAAACCTTGATATGGAAATCCACAGGAAGCGTCCTGGAGCCCACCAACCGTGTCATGAGGTAGCCCTTCCAGTCGGTGAACTTGGCATGGATGGCTGTGAGACAGGAGATTCCTGGTTACATGCTGACAACACTCCCACCGACAGAGGGCGCCAGAGCTGACTATTTATGCCTTTGCTGGCCCTTCTCTTCCTATAGAATTGGGTTCCAAGTCCTGGAGCGGCCACAGAGCCCCTGGGACAGAGGTGGCAAGTGGGTTCTGTTCTGGCCCAGCCTAAGACAGACGATGGCCCTTCTCCCAAGGGCCCCGCAGAAACCAGCACAGGGAGGCTTCTCATCAACTCACTGCGAGGAGGCACCAGGATCTTGCTGTTGATGGCGCACCAGCCGATGGGATGGACATCCACAGTGCCCAGGTTGCACCAGAAGTCATGGCTGGCGTCATTTTCAAAGCCCTCATACCGCAGCAGTACTCGGTACCCTGGTAGGAGGAAAAGCACCGGTGAGGGAAGGTGGGCCAGGGAAAGATACGCATATCTCCACAGGCCTTCCTCCTCCTCCAGCCTAACCCGGACTCCCCGCTGCCTGCTCCAGAACTCCTTCCAGGCGCCGCGGTCTCTGCTGTCCACAAGAGCACGGCCAAGACAAACCCATGCCACTTACTTGGAAAGCAGCATGGCATAGTGGAGAGAACCAATTTTCTATAGCCTGATTATCCCTGGAATGAACCTAAAAAAATGGGCGTTTCCATACTCACCAAGCTCTGTGGTCCCCTCTAAGGTAGGCAAGAGTCGCATGGAGCCAGAAACTCCAGCAGGTGGGTTGTTTTTGTTTTTGTTTTACAAAGCCAATTTCTGCCCGCAGCACTGCCTGCCCATCTGGAGACGCCGCTCTCCCGACCCTGACCCTGCTTTCCCCAGGGGAACACCCACCTGCGGCCTGGATGACAGAGGCGATCCAGTACACCCGGCTGGGGAGCACAGCATCGCTGTTGAGCACCTCCACCTTCATCCCTTTCATCACATCCTCCCACTGGTCATAGAGAGGGACCTGGGTGGGGATGAGAACCCAAGGGAAACGGTGAGCTGCCCGGACTGGCAGAGAAGAGTGCAGGCCCGTGACTTCCAGGGTCACTGTGGCCTGCACCTTTTCACAGCACTCACTGCATGAGGAAAGCCAGGCAGGGACGAGGGTGAAGGACGAGCACCACGTGCCTGCTGTCCCTGAGGAGCTGAGTCAGGGAAGAGAGACAGGTGGTCAGGGGCGAAGGGCAGAGGCCCCGAGTCAGACAGCCCTGACTGCTGCACTGTCTGGAGCACCTCACACCTGTGCCTGCCCACGGGACATTTAACAGTGGCTAGCGCTTTTACCACATGCCAAATATTCCCTCCCTCAATTGCCACTCAAACCTGGGCAGTAAGGACCACGACCCCTGGTCTCAGCCATCACCTTGCCAGCGTCACAGAGCTGTCCAGCCACACATTACTGCTAGCATGTTCTGCCTCCATCTCCCTACCTGGTCCCCTCCTCCTGTTAAAAGTGCCCCGACAGCAATGAACCACTTTTTGGGTGCCTTCCCAATAACTAATCTTCATTTTGCTGCCAATGGCACATTAATTCTCCTTTGCAGAAATTCACTTTTTCTTCATTTTCAGCCCTACATTAAGCCAATTGGGGTATCCTGTCCCATCTCCCTGGCCACAGAGATTGGGTTCATCACAGAACCTAGAAATGGTTAATACCATCCAGGCACAAGGGTGGGCTTTTCACAGAGCACAGGAATCAGATGTATTAAGTTAAATGCAAATGGAATGGTATCTACCGTGCAGCGAAAATGCCGATGCTGGGGGGGGGGGGCTAGAGAACTCAGGGCAACCAAGAGGTCCCCAAATGGGACACGCACCTTCTCCAGGAATTCAGGGAGGAGTAAGAGGCCGCGCTGGGGCCCGCTTTTCACTGCTCAGGGCACCCTGCCGAGGTCAGGAGCAGCTCAGGAAGGAGAGGCTAGGAGATGAGTTTACTCTGGTGTGAGGACTCCAGGAATAAAAGAGGCCTCATCCTGGGTTTCCTGGCGGTTTTGGAATTGGCTTGAAAGACAAAACGAGACTGCTGCCCCAGGCCTCTCCCCTGGCCCGCAGACCTTCGCAGGCTGCAGGCGCTGCAGGCTTCGCGCCTCCATGCCCAGCCCAGCCCCCAGGACCTTGCCCTTCAGGTGTTTCTCAACGACAGGGGTTAGGGAGTCCTTTGCGGAAGCTTCGGGAGGTGTCCACATGGGCCTCCTCGGGACCAAGGGGCCCAGGGTAGTTCAGAAGCACCAAGCGTTCAAAGGGGAAACATGAAAAATGGGAAGAAAGGAGAAAAGGATTTCAGATTTGGCTCTCAGACACAACACCGCACAAAGGGCCATGTGTAAATGGCAAAGTGGGGACCTCAGAGGGGAAGCGCCATGCTAGAAGCCCTCAGTGGGGGCTGGAGGGAGGACTTGAAAAGAAGTGAACAGCAAGGTAAAGAGGAGTGGCAGAGCCGGGCCTCAACCACCCAGCCCAGACCCCACCGCTGCTCTCTCTGGTGCCAGGTGCCAACCTCACGTCCTGCCTGGAACAGTGCCCGTGGGGCAGCTGGACGAGATGGCTGGGGAGCACCTGGGTCCCCTGCTCTCCCTCCCCTCCCCTCAGGGGCACTCACGTGTTTAAAACAGCTGACAGGGGCAGCCTTGTAGCTGTGATCCTTCAGAAACTTGCCCCAGTCGAAACCCAAGACCAGCGCTGTGGAGCGGAAAGGAAGGGGTGAACAGAGTGCAGGCTGGGAGCTCAAGCAGCAGCCACTCTGGGATCCTGGCCCCCGAGGAGCCTGGAGAAGAAGGTCCGTTCCCCACCACAGCAGCACCTTGATCCTAAGCGCATGGGGAGGCCACCTGTCCCTATACCTGCCCCACTAGGGGCCATCGGGACCTTATCCAAAGGCTGCCAGACTCAGGAGCAGAGGAAACATTCAGAAGGAAATGTCTGACCTTTCTTCCCCCAAAGAAAAAAGAAGTTGCTACTCTTGACCTTAAATTCCTCAGACCTCCCCTGACCTTTCGTTGGCTGTGGCCCATCTAAGTGGGCGGGAGGTCACACACCCAGGCCCCTCCAATTCCTGCCGGAGGAGCTCAGTTCCAGCCAGAAACTCAGACCACCTACAGCAGAGGTGCTCTGTGCCTGTATTTAGTTTGCTCAGAATTGCTACACACATTCAGAAAGAAAGTTTCCTTTTCTCACCCCTCCACCCCTCTCCCACCTAGATCTGGTTTCGCACTACCCCCAGGAAACAAAAGCCACAGGGCAGAAATCATGCAAAACAACAGAGGCTGACTTGGCTTCCGAATTATCAGCAGGGACGCCACCATTTCAGGGTGACTGACGGGATTTTTCTGGAGTAATTTCCACAACACCTACTGGGCGAGGACGATGCCATCTGAAGCAGGCCTGGGTCGGGCACTTGCTAGCGGGCCATCTCTCCCCCTCGCTCCCGGGGAGGGCATCCCGTCCTGGCATCCCACCGGCCCCACCAGCTAGCTTCCTGAGCAGTCCTCTGCCCACTTACCGTCTTGCCCTGTTGGTGTCCCATCTGCCAGCTGTCCCGTCCCCTGCGAGTGCAGAAAGGCTCCAATTTTGGCAGACCAGGCTGCTTTGTGCAGGACCTTGGCTTTCTTGGTTGGTGGTTTACCCTGAAGGAAGGGGAGGCTGTGTGTAGCCTATTGGCTAAGAACCTAGCTCTGGATTTGGATGGTCTAGGTTTAAATCTAGGCATGGGTCCAGTTACTTAAACTCTTTGGGGCTTCACTTCCTCATTTGTAAACCAAGGTAATACTAATAACAATGCCTGGCTCAGAGCGGGGCTGCAAGGATGCTAGTTACTCTAAGAGCCTGGCACTGAATGAGGGCTTAGCTATGGTTCAGCAGGGAGGGACTGGGGGGAGGGGGGAGAGAGGGAGCAGTAGAGCAGAGCAGGACACCTGTTCCACCTTTTAAACCTTTGCTTCCTCCAGGCACCTTTGCTAGTGGCTGAACTCTCAGCCGCTACTGGGCTCTGCACATTTACAGATTAATGGCAAAGAATGGGTTTCAGCAGCATCTGTGAACTGAACCCTGAACCGGGAGGCAACATTCAGTTTACATGTGAATGTCCTGGAGAGGACCCCTGGCTTCCACCAGGTGCTCCAAGGGGTCCTCTCCCAAAGTTAAAGGACACCGACCTGGTCTGTAATTTGTAACTTAACCGCTAATCAGAAAGGTCTGGAGAATTTATTAGAGAAACCAGTGAAGCAAAAATATAGGTTTCGAACCTATACAGACTGAGGATCAAATCCTGGCTCTTCAATTTTATGTGCACCTTTGAGCAAGGTGCTAAAAATCTTTGACCCTTTAAAATAGGAATTTTCAAAAATTCACTTTTTAGCAACCACTGGTTAGACTGAGAGCTCCAAGCTCTTAGTAAGCACCCCCAGACTGCAGGTACTAACGACATCATCAGCTCGCCGAGGAAGGCCTTTCCTGCGCCTTGACTACAGTGCCCAAAATGATGGAAACAACAGTAATCGTCTCCTGAAGACGAGAAAGTGTACGAAGCGCTGACTTTCAGTAAATGGGGGCAGAGGGCCTCGAGCTTTGCTGCACATCAGGATCACCGGGGAGCTCTCTGAAGCCCGTGTCCAGGCCACACTCCGCCCCAATTAAGTCGGAATCTTGGGGAATAAGACCCAAGCATCAATATTCTCAAAACCTGCCAGGCGATCACAACGTGCAGTCCAACCCGAGAACCAGTGCTGTGAACAGTGGCCACAGCCACCAGGAAACAGCGTCCGGCCTCAGCTGCTGCCCCCTTCCTCGGAGCCGCCCTGGATGTCTTCTTCCTCTCAGGACCGCAGCACACGCATCGACTAACGTGCGGGTTAGGAGGCACATCAGAGTCCTTCCATTTCCAAAAATCCTGTGAATGCTGGACGGGTGGCTCCTTGGCTGGAGCGTTGTCCCGTCCACCAAAAAGGCTGCAGGTTCAGTTCCTCGTATGGGAGGCAACTGATCAATGTTTCTCTTTCTCCCTTCCTCTCTAAAACCAATAAGCATATCCTCAGGTGAGGATTAAAATAGACAAATTAATTAATGCTATGAACGTCAATAATTAACTAGAGATTGGTGAGACTTTCTGGATGGCTGCCTATGACATGGAGTCAGAGACGAGGCATCCATGGTCTAAACCCTCTGTGGCTGATGAACTTGTGGCTGGTTCCCAGCTTCCTTTCAGGACATTTATAAAAGTGTGGTGAAAGGACCAAGGGTGTCAGACTCCCAAGAGGTTCTTGTTTAAAACTTATGACCACATTGGACTCTGAGGGGTGAGGGCAGGAAACGAAGCTCCAGGAATGTGCAATTTAATGAGCTCCATAAATAGATTCCTCTGCCCTCTAAAGTTTGAGATCATAATAAATACCAGGAAATGTACAACCTTGGATGGATGCAAGCAAGATCCTTCCCAAGCCCTCTTGACCCCTTGCCATCAGTTAGTTGGTTGCTCCTGTCTCAGCACCCCGGGGCCCCAGGAAGGGTCTTCCCAAGTGACTGCCTCTCACCTGTAATCTAGCCAAGATACTGGCTTTCTTGGAGTTGGAGGAGTAGCTCCTGGAACAGGAGACACTGCAGAATCTCTTGGTCTTGGAGAAGAAGGCTTCCCTTGTACCCACGATACCACACATCTCACAGACAGCTGGGAAGAGAACTTGGCACGTGACTCACCTGACATGGTCACCCCACATCAAACAAAATGAGGGGCCTGTCAAAACCTGGGCCCTGAATTAACCAGGCAAGTCCTGGATTCCTAACTCTATCTTGCCTAAGATAAGCTGCTTGGCATCTCTTGGCCACATGTCAACAGCGAAAATCCACGAAGACACACGTGAGTGTTGGGAGTTTACAAAGAGGAAAATGAGAAGAAAAAAGTGCCCAAGTCACTTAACGTCTATAAGTCCATTTTCTTCTCATCTATAAAGACACTGAACTAGATCAGTGTTTCAACCTTGACTTTACATTAGAATCACTTGTGGAACTTTAAAAAATGTCCAAGCCAGAGATTCTAATGTTCATCCAGGATAGAGAACTCTTGGACTAGATAGTCTCTTCTGGGTCTTTCTATTTGTAAAGTTCTAAGATTCTAAGAGAAAAAATAGAAGACAGAAGGAAGATAAAAGAAAGGTGAAAGAGGAAGAGAAGAGAGGATGAATAGAAAGGAGATAAGATTCAACTGGCAAAGAGTCTTAGATAATTTTTCTAAATGGTTTAGGCACGAAGGAACAGCAATGTCCTTGCAGACTGTCTAGCCTGCCTTTCATAGGCAGTGAAGACCTTGATGCTGATCCAGCAGCTGTCCAAGCGTCTCCTCTCTGAAGCCAACTGGCTCTCAGATATTCCAGGGGGATTCTTATCTGCCCATCCCCACCCTAATTCTCTCACCCAGGGGATTCTGTATTTCTCTTCCTGTTACTTCCAACCCACAAGCTATTTCTTATCGCTTTCTGGAAAATAATCAGAAAATTTTAGGTGTCCTATCTTCTCAACATCCGGGCTTAAAAGTCCACCAGTTATTCACACAAATGTAGAAGTAGCACCATATTAATGAGTAGCATCTAATATGTGCTGTGAATAAAATCAGCTGTATGAAAGAATGAATGAAATCATGATTTGAAATCAGACTGCAGCAGAGGAAATGACCCTTGGGCATACTTGGGACGCTTTTGTCTATCTAAGAGGTCCTTAGATATCTGATCCTTTACATTTAAGATCAAACACCCCATGCCACCTAGACACCTCTGCCCACAAGGCCTGTATCACCCTCTTCCCCCTTAGCCTCTTGAAACCTCCCCCCATCTTCAAGGACACTCTGAAGGCACCTGGCTCGGAACCACTGCCATCCAAGGAGCGAGGAGTCCCAGGGCTGAGCAAATGCAGAGGGGAGGTGGGCAGCTCCCCTGCTTCCCTCTCCTCATTTTCTGCTTCACTGGACTCCTCAAGGTAGGAGCTGCTTTCACTGCCCGCACTGCTGTTGTAACTCCGGAAACTGTCGTAGCCACCAAAGAGCTCTAAGTCATCATCTTCCTCTTCCTCCTCCATTGGTTCTGAAGAAGGAATCTCCTGGTGCAAGAAAGAATGACACAGACCAGGCAGGAGTCATAGTTGGCTTAGTGCATGGGGAAGGCGAATGCAGATCTGCTATCAGCGCCATTTCTAGTTCTTGGTCTACACTTTTGGGCAAAATGGCAGACAGAGTCAAATACCCCTTTGCAGATCCCAGAACCACTACTCTTGTCCATCCACTTCTCAACCAAAATTCAACAGACTAGCTTAACGAGACAGAGAGAACATGTTTTAGGAATTAACCAAGCTCCTTCTGTGGATTTGTAAGTGATGATATTTTAACAGTATTCAAATGGAATATAATGATATGAAAATATCCTAAGTGAGGTGCCTCCCGAAGGCTTTCTGGAAGATACACACATCGGGACTCCGTATCAATGAGTTTCACATTTGTGGAAAGAAAATATCAGTATGTGGGAGAATGTGTGTAGGTTATATGCAACTACTACACTATATATAAGGGACTTGAGCAGCTACAGATTTTGGTGCCTATGGGAGGGTTCTAGAATCAATCCCCCTTGTACAGAGGGACAGCCGTGCAAGCATATCTTGTTTATTGTGCTTTGCTTTATTGCCCTCTACAGACACTGCAATCTTTACTAAGCGTGACCAGCAAAAAGATTACAACTCGCTTTATTGAGGTGGTCTGGAACTGAACCTATTAGAAATTCATTCTTCCCCTTTTGGCATATGTACACCGAGATGATCTCAACCCCAAAACAATTTAAGTTAGAGAAAAGCTCATTTGGGACTCAGACTGCCAAAAGAAAGATTTGGAAGGCAGAAGACACACTAGTTTATAGCAGAGTGATATGTACCACAGCTAGGGACTTAGCTTGATTCAAACTACACAGGGGTGCTAGGGCATGTCATTTCACCTCTCTGGGCCCCAAGCTTCTCATCTATAAAATGATAAAAATATCTGGCTCACAGAATGGGAGATGTAAATGAGATACTGGGTATGAATCTACCCAGCATGTGGTGGAAAAGGTGTGACGAGTTTGGGCTCTAGGCCAGGGCTCAAATATCATCTCTAGTTTTTATTAGATGTATGATCTGCAGCACATCAATATTCCAGTGCCTCAGTTTCCCCATCTGTAAATAAGGATAATACCACCTATTTCACAGGCTTGGGGAGGGAGTAAGGGTTAATACAGGTAAAGCGCTGGGAACAGTGAATTGCATACAGTACGCATTCAATAAATGTTGGCAATTATCACCGATTAAAAGCATGGCATTTCAAATCCTGGCTCTGCTACTTATTATCCGCATGCTTTTGTGCAAGTCAGTGAACCTTGCTGCTCTTGGCTTCTTCATCAGCACGACGGAGATGACACCAAGCCTTCTTCAGAAGACTGTTATGAAGACTGAGATGTGTAAAGCCTAGATCCGTTTCCAGCAGCGACTGCTCTAAGAGTGAGCTATTATTCTTATTTTCTACTTTATCATTACTCTCCTTTACCATTGTAGAATTTTTGAGCTATTTCATTTTATATTTGCAACTACACATGCAAATGTGCCAGAAAGGAAACAATTCAAATACGAGGTGACCAGGAGCCAAACGATTAAAGCGTAAGTGGGTTCTAGGGGGAGGTAGCGTGCGGAGAGCCTAACTGGTCAAGCCCAGGAGCCTGCGGGACTTAGCGCCCGCCCCCTGCACTTCACAGCTGGGTGAAGCGCCTGCAGAGTCTCCCACCCGGGTAAGCCTCAGCGACTTTAACCATGAAAACGAAACAGTAACACAAGACTGCTGAGTACACTGGGGGAGAATGCACGTGAACGCTCTAGACACGGAGTGTTTATTAAACTTTAATCTCCCTTCACGTCACACCAGGATGTGACAGGCCTCACAATCCCCAAAGAACACGACCACGCGACAAGAAGGACGAAAAGATTCCAGAGCTCCCAGGTCCTCAACTGAGCTCCCCTCCCCCAAGCCAGGGAGGCTGTTCCTCCCACAACTATTCACCAGTCGTCGGCTTCAGCACTAAGCACTGTCGGGCCAAAAGGCAACTCCAAATGCGCCTGGCCCACTTTAACCTCAGTTTACTCATCCTTCCCTCCACCCGAAAGGCGTCGCTAAAGGGCCTAAAGGAGGGTCCCGCGAGCTAGGCCCTCGGAGTTCCCCCTCCCAGACACCGCAAGCCCTCCCCATCTCACCTCCATTCCCCGGGGTTTCTCCATGAGACCTAACACAATTTCTTCAACAGTCACCAAGTGCAGGGAGCCATATTGGCTTCGCCGCTTTCTCCGAGGACGCTCATTGGCCACCTTCCAGAGCCACAAGCCAATCACGCTCCAGGACAGAGGAAAAAGCCGGTACTGCCCACGCCTGAGTCCCTCCTATTCTTGGGGCGGGAAGCCACCTACCTTGTGGGACTTGTAGTTCTCCTGTGGGTGGGTGTGGAGGGGGCGTTACTATAGCGACGGGAAAATTCCCAGGGCGCTGGTTTAACTGGGGCTCCTACAGGCGGGTTTATTTTTTATTTTTAATAGTTCATTTTTATTGTATTTTCCATGACCATTTATGCCCCTCCTGCAAGCGGTTTTCATCTCTCGAAGATAACCTCTTTCCAGTCATCCAGATCCCATTCTGCGTTAAATCAATTACTGAGTACCTGCAATCACGAGGTGCTGTTCCAGGCCTCAGCAATAACCTCGCATTCTTCCCGATTAGAAATTCAAGGTGCTCTTGGGCCCAGATGCCTAGCAGAGAGATTCATTTCCAGTTTAGGTAGAAACTGGAATATTCTCATACCCAATGCTATATATGGCTCAGATGTTTGAATCATGCAACTCTGCCCCTACATCACCATTTCCCGAATAAAAACCTCAAATATGAGGCTCTCTGCCTCATTCCGTTTGGATTTCTCACAACCCACTCCAATTTCTAGGTGCCGTCATAGAGCTTTAGGGACATCTCAAATCCAGGGACATCCATCCCTTGAAGATGAGGAAATAGTGGCTCTTTGGGTTTAGGCTTTCCAAGACCACATTGGACTGGAATTTAAGAATTGGTTCAGATTCTTTCCTTATGTCGTGCTGTGCTCTGATTAATTGAAAATCTAAATGTACTGTAGTAAGTGAAGGCTGAATATTTGTTAAATATATTTGCAAATTTGTAAATAGATGTGAAAGTCTTCCTTGAACTCTTTTCTTCAACCTTTTCTACCTTCAACCCCATATCCTTGATATTAACAAGTACTGTTGATCCTTCTACCTCCAAAATACATCCTTATCCCTCCACTACTACCGTCCTAACACGAGCCATTGATCCACTGCAAGAGCTCTTGGCCCGAACACTGGTCTCCTTGTTTGAATCGTCACCTTCTTTAATCCGCACATGTAGTCTTTGTTTTTTTTTAAAGATTTTATTTAGCCCAGGCTGGTGTAGCTCAGTGGATTGAGCATGGACTGCAAACCAAAAAGTCGCTGGTTCAATTCCCACTCAGGGCACATGCTTGGGTTATGGGCCACATCCTCAGTGCAGGGTGTATTTGTCCTTATATATACTCACATTGATGTATCTGTCTTTCTCTTACCCCTTTCCTTCTCCTCTCTCTAAAAGTAAATAAATAAAATATTAGCTCTGGCTGGTGCAGCTCAGTGGATTGAGCATGGGCCTGTGAACCAAACAACTGCAGTTCGATTCCCAGTCAGGGCACATGCCTGGGTTGCAGGCCAGTTCCCAGCAGGAGATGCACAAGAGGCAACCATACATTGATATTTCTCTCCCTCTGTCCTTCTCTTCCCCTCTAAAGATATACAAATAAAATCTTTAAATATATATATATATATATATATATATATATATATATATTTAAAAAATCACAAACCGGATCGTGTTCATTCTCTTGATTAAAACGCCTAGTGGTGTCCCTTTGCAACATGAATGAAATGCGAACACTCTGCAAGACCCTGCGTGACGTGGCCCAGCTGTCTCTCCATCCTCCTCTGGTACCACCTTCTCCACCTTTCTGCTGTGTCTATCGGCTCAGCTCTTCTTCCTGTTTTTTTCTTTTTAATCCTCACCCAAGGATGGGTTTATTGATTTTAGAGAGAAAGGAAGACAGAGAGAGAGCGCCCGTGAGAGAAACATGGATGTGAGACAAATATCGATCGCTTGCCTCCTGTACCCACCCTTACCAGGAATCGAACCTGGGCCATTTGGTGCATGGGATGGGCCGCCGGCCAGGGCTTCCTCCTAGTCTTGAGTGCCAGGCTTGAGTTGGCCTCAGGGCCTTAGCACTTGCTATTCCATTTGCGTGGGACATTCTTTTGATGGCTCTTCTCATGGATAGCTCTTTATTTTTCAAATTTCAGCTCAAAATCACCTCCTCAGGGACCTTATTTAAAGCAGCTGTTTCCTCGTCTCACTGTGTATTTCTTCCTCCATTTCACAGTCCTTTATAGCACTTGTTTCTGTCTGAGATGATCTCACTCTTTTTATCTGTTTTTTGTCATTCCCCCACCACTGAAATGAAGCCCCATGAGGGAAGGAACCTAGTCTGTCTTGTTCTCGACTGTGTTTCTAGAGCCAAGGACAGAGCTTTGTATGTGCAAGGGACTTAATGACTAAAGAGCCAGCAGTAACACTTCAAGGATGACAACAGACTACTGTTTTTTTAAAAAATTAAAGTGTAGTTGACATATAATATTAATTTCAGATGTACAACAAAGTGATTCAACATTTATATACCTTACAAAGCTACCACCACTAGATAAGTGTAGTAACAATCTGTTACCATACAGTTATCGTTATTGGATTATAATTGTATTCCCCGTACTGTGCATCATATCCCTGGGACTTATTTTATAACTAAAAGTTTATACCTCTCAATCCCCTTCACCTCTTTTGCCCTTCCCTCCACCACCCTACCCTCTGTCAAGAATCAGTTTATTCTCTGTATCTATGAATCTCTGTTTCGGTTTGGTTTGGTTTTTAGATACCACACATAAGTGAAATCCTATGGTATTTGTCTTTTTCTGTCTGTCAACAGGCTACTGGATTGGGCAGCTTGCTATTCTGACCCCTGCGAACTTTTTTGCTTTATTTTTGTTTCACCACTAACAGGGGCCCAAGCCCACTTCCTCCACCAAGAGACCTAGACTTTCCTCCTTTCAGCCTCTTCTTCCTCATCAAGGAAACTGGGTTAAGTTAATCTCATTCAACTCAAAAAACTCCCCTGACTTCAAAGTGCAGTGAACAATTCAAGATTGACCATCAAACTTGATATACAAGAGGAGTCTAGGCTTTAGTCTGTAAAATGAGAATAACAGGACCGCCTCCCTGGGCTGTTACGAAAACTAGAAATAACGAATGTGCAGTGTCGCCACCTGCTGGGCACGGTCAACAGTAGTTCTTCCTATGAGAAGTTCCATGAGAAGGATGAGTTCTTCCCATCCTATGAGACACTCCAGTGGCAGCAACCAGCAGAGTAAACCAGCCAAGAATATCCTTTATGAGTTGTTTAATCTTTAAATTTTTTTCACAAAAGAGCAACCATGAATCTCACAGGTAGAGCATCTGCTCATGGCAAATCATCTTACTCACCGAGCATTTATTTAGTGCCTACTGTGTGCCAGGCACTGTGCTAGACTCTGAGAAGACACATGAAATTGTTGACTGCCTCTTTCACTGCAGGGAGTCAGTGAAAACAGCTAGTTCCAACTGGGAGGGAATTTAGCAGGGTGCGGTACCGGAGAAATGGGGACGGGAGAGCCCAGTTCTGGATGTCCAGAGAAGGCCTGCTACCTAAGAAACAAACTTCCCTGACTTGCAGGATGTGAAGGAGCCATTTAGGAGCAGAGGGAAAGGGCATTCCAGGCAGAGACGCAGAGTTTAGGGAGAGAGGCGAACCACTCCAGTGGTAGGGGATTATATGGGAAAACTTTGAAAGATTTTAAACTGTGAGTTGATTAGATTATGTTTTAATTGATCACTCTCCAGCTGCTTTGTGGAGAATGGACTCTACTGAAGCCTCCTCGCTGGTTTCTTCTCCTATCCTGTCCCATAAATTGGACCAATTAACTCCCCAGCACCAGTGATTTACAGGCTGGGTGCTCTTCATCACTTCTGCCTGTCCAATTATTTTATAAGACCTTTGGGGAGGGAGCAGTGAACAAGAAAATGGCACAGTTCCTGCTCTCAAGGGGTTTCCACTCCAATATGATCCAAGGGAAAGGAGACCAACGCCTTCAGGTGCAAACAAACCACGGGCCTGCTGGGTGCTGATCACTATGGCTGCAGGCCTGCCCCCTGTGGTGCTGGGCAGTTCACCTCCGCGCCAAAATGGGCTGATATCGCGTAGCTCCGGACTCTAGCCCTCCCTCGGTACGGGGTGGGGTGCAGGTCGAGGTCAGAGGGGCTTGCACCACCCCCACCCCCATCCCTGCCAACCACCTGTCCCCGCGCGCGGGCCCGACTGTCTAGTGTTTGGGCCGTGCGCGCGGGTTCCGAACTCCAACCGCCAGCCGTTCTGCCACGCCCCTCCCCGTCACGCCCCGCCCCCAGCACGTGCGCGCTCGGCGCCCTCCACTCCCCCACCCCCGCCACCCGATACTCCCCACATTTCCCAGCATCCTGGAAGGCAGAGCCCCTGCCCGCGCCAGCCCGACCGAGCGGGTTGGAGAGGCGCGGGTTCGCTCGGACTGCTGACCAGCGGGGTCCGGTCTAGGGCATCAGCGACGGCAGCGTGGGACGGACGCGCTGCGGGTCGCAGCGGGCAGCGAGACCGGAGCACTACTGCAGCGTCGGGCCAGAGCAATTAGTACCGTGCCGGGCACGGAGCGAGCGCTCCTAGTATTCTGGCCCTGATTGCAACCGCAGCGCGGGCAGACACCAGGAAAGGCAGTGTTCGATAACTGGGCTGACCAAGGGTAACTGCCATTATTAGCACCCAGGCTGGCCTGGCCCGGTCACCACCCCTTCCTTCCCGCGGTGGCAACCAAGGCACACGGGGCACGAGCTTGTGTCCTAGGATGATGAAAACAGCAGACCTGGGATGCGAACCTGGGACATTTGGCTCTTGGCCCACAGCCCTAGGGTGAGGAAAACACGTAGTACTTTAAGGATTGGGAAGGGTTTGATGGATGGAAATAACTGAGCGAGCTCAGCCCTAATTCTCGGACCTTGGGAAGTCGTTTGCTCTTTAGGCCTTGTTTTTCCTCTTCCACAAAAATGGTTGGACTTGGGAAACTAAGACTAGAATGTAAGTAGTGTTTTCTCATGTGTAAAGCACTTTCAATGATGTCATG